TGAGTTTAATGGAGGCTGCCCCAGTGCAACCGAGGCTGGGGACGTGGAGGCACTTGAATGGTGGGTGCTGTTTTTGTGTCTGTATGAGGTCTTTATGCCATCTGAGTACTTTGTAGTGGAGTTAAGTACTTTTAAACTTACTTGGAAACACACGAGTATTCCTAGAAGTTCGCCCTTTGGAGGAGTTTCCATTTCTAGGCTGTTGCCGAGCAGAGATGTTAGACCAAAACTTGTCAGGTTGTCCCCGAATATTTATGTTATCTGGTGTGAGTAAAGCATCCCAAATAAAATGAAAAGGAAGCTGAGTGTGGTGGTGTTAGCCGGGAATTCAGGGTTCCCTTTCGTGGGTTCTTGTTAATAAAATAATTTTAAAAGGTATTCGGGCTGGAGAGATGGCTCAGCAGTTAAGAGCACTGGCTGCTACTGCAGAGGAGCTGGCTGTGAATAAATGTTTAAAAGGATAGCATTTAATCATTTCTTATGCAGTTGTCTTTTTTCAAAAGTGGAAAAACAGAAGATAAAGCAAGAAAATACATTTTTTAATAAAATGGGAGAGCTGGGCGTGTCTCTGTGTGGGTATGTACATGTGAGAGCCCGTGTCCATGGAGGGAGGCCAGAGACACTGGATCACTGCCCCAAACTGGAGTTACAGGTAGCTGTGAGCCACCCCATGCGGGCGCTGGGACCTGAACCTGGCTCCTCTGAAAGAACTGTATGAAATCTTAACTGCTCAGTCATCTTTCCAGCCCCAGCTTTTAACATCTGAAAGTTAAAAAAGTTTTTCATTAATTTGTTTTGTGTGTATATGTGTGGGCACGTGTGATATGAATGCTTGTAGAGGTCAGAGGACAGCTTGTGGGAGTCCAGGAGACAGTCCCCTTCCCCCTAAATGCAGGTTGTCAGGCTTGGAGTAAGAGCCTTTACCTACTGAGTCATCTTGCTGGTCCCGTTGATGAAACTGTTGTTACTGAAGAACTTCTGGAAGTGGTACCCATAACAAGCATGGTATCAAATGACATTCTTTTGGGTTGAGAAAAGTCTTAAAAAGTTTAATGTGGACTGGCCAAAACTAGTGTTAGCTTGATAGTAATTGTACTGTGGGCGGCGGTAAGTACTTATTACAAAAATGGAATCCACCGTGGCAGGGCATTGTTAAGACTCAGAGATTAGGTCTGTGCATGGTATCACTGACCAGGACTCATTGTACTGGAAACTATCTATGGATCATGTCATGGAGGAGGAGGCAAGAGAATCAGGAGCTCAAGGTCAACCCCGGCTACATAGCCAGTCACCTGAGCAGGACCCACAGTGTAACCCTGATACATCCCTATCCCTTGTACCATAGGAGTTCTCTGAGTTAGATGCAGAATATGGTGGCCAAGTTGTTATGGTATGGTGCTGAGGCAGGTTTTTTTTTAAAGATTTATTTTTATTTTATTTTTGTCTTTTTGAAACAGGGTCTCCCGGAAGCCCCAGCTGGCCTGGAACTCACTATGTAGACCAGGCTGGTCTCGAACTCATAGAGATCCGTCTGCCTCTGCCTCCCGAGTGTTGGGACTAAAGGCGTGCGCTACCACACCCGGCTTATTTTTATTTTTTAATTATGTGCAGTTATGTGTATTTGTGTGAGCGTATGTGCACCACGTGTATGCCGTTCCAGAGGACAGAAGATGGTGTCGGGTCCCCTAGAACTGGAGTTACAGATGGTTGTGAGCAACCTGACCTAGGTGCTGGGAATCAAACTCAGGTACTGTAGAAAAATAGAACTGCTGAGTCATCTCTTCAGCCCCTGAGGCAGGTCATTAAAATGTTGGGAGAAACTGACTTGTTTCTGCCTTCTGCATGCCTCACCTCATGAGCAGAAACAGGGCCAGAGACTTGGCTTTTTTGGTTGATCTTTTGGTTGACCCACCTAAACATACAGGATAGATTTTGGCAAGGACCTTGTATGTAGTCATATGAATGTATAATTCAGTGTGCTCATTCCTATCAAAATTGTGACTTTGGGAACCTCATTTGACAAGGAATGGTCTGGCCTATTTCTTGATGCTGAAAATAACTTCCAAAAATGAAAACTGTGGACTGAACTACATTCCCAGAAGACTGGGTTCCAGGAAAAGTTCTCTGATTTCAAACTTCATGAAAACGAACTAACATTGTTCAGTTCATCTTTCTCAATAAACAGTAATCATGTCAGTGATGAGTTACAACTAGAAGTTGCAGAACTGCAGTGCAACACTACACTGACTGCCAAATGTGCCAGCCCTGGAGCCTGGGGTCTACAAGCATCTTGAGAATGGTAACCCGAAATATAAAAACCATCTGCCCAGCTTCTGTCCATGTTTGGAAGTACTTATGTTCCAGAGCTGCTGTTTTCTTCTATGAAACTAAATAAAGCTAAATGTTGCTCCTGATTAAAGGATTCAGGGGTAAATTCTCTGGTTCCTGTTTCTGAACCAGAGTCACCCTGGTATCACTCAACAACTGTGGTCATAAGAAAGGGATGTCAGGTGCTGGGCTTGGTGGCACACGCCTTTAATCCCAGCACTCAGGAGGTAGAGGCAGGCAGATCTTTGTGAATTCAAGACCAGCCTGATCTACTTAGTGAATTCCAGGCCAAGGCATCAGATTCCCTGGAACTGGAGTTACATATTGTTGGCCACCATGTGGGTGCTGGGAATTGAACCCAGGTCCTCCATAAGAGCAGTCAGTGCTCTTAACCGCTTAGCCACTATTTTGAATAGTGTCATCATAAATGTGTGTTACAGATACTCTTGATTTTTATACACCATACACTTTAAAAAATATATTATTTTTATTTTATGTGTATGAGTATATTGCCTGCATGTACATGAGTGCACCCATGTCATACAATGCACGGAGGTCAGAAGAGGGCTTCGGATTCCCCTGGAACTGGAGTTAAGGACAGTTCGTAGCCGCCATGTGGGTGCTGGGAATCGAACCAGGTCCTCTGCAAGAGCCATCAGCGCTCTTAACCACTGAGCAATCTCTCCAGCCCCTACCATACACTTTATACCACATAAAATAAGCTCATACTACTCTGGACAACTTAATTTTTTAAAAATATTTTTATTAGCCTGCCGTGGTGACCCACACCTTTAATCCTAGCACTTGGGAGGCAAAGGCAGGCGGATCTCTGTGAGTTCAAGGCCAGCCTGGTCTACATAGTGAGTTCCAGGACAGCTGGGGCTACAGGGAGACCCTGTCTCAAAAAGACAAATAAATAAAATATTTTTATTATTTTTATCTTATGTGTATATGTGAGTTCAAGGCCAGCCTGGTCTACATAGTGAGTTCTAGGACAGCTGGGGCTACAGGGAGACCCTGTCTCAAAAAGACAAATAAATAAAATATTTTTATTATTTTTATCTTATGTGTATAAGTGTATTACCTGCCTGTATGTAAGTGTACCCATGTCATGCAATGCCCAAGAAGGTCAGGAGAGGGTGTTGGATCCTCCAGAACTGGAGTTACAAACAGTTGTTAGCCCCCATATGGGTGCTGGGACTTGAACCTAGGTCCTCTGCAAGAGGAGCTAGTGCTCTTCACTGCTAAGCCATCTTTGCAGCCCCTGGGCAGTTTTAAAATTTGTTACATTTCTCACCCTTATTCATACTTACAAACCTGTGCCCTAGGAGAAGCCATATTTTTCTAAAAGATACATGTAAGCCTTGAATGTGAACCAAGGACTCAGCTGGAGGAACTGAATATTTAGTTACTACCTATCTGTAAGGTTGACAGACTTGTCACAGCAGAGTAATTAATTCCTGACCCTGGACACGACTGGCACTGTGCCGCATCACTGCCCCTGGGCCTCTGCTTTGGATTTGCTCATCTCTTTTGAAATGTTGCTGGCTCACGGGCACCTCTAGGCAACACATGTCAGTGTGTATGAGTAGATGAGCCTTCTTCCAGGGAATTGCCCACAGCTGTCAGCATGGTCTTAGCTGTCAGTGACCTAAGAGTGTTTTTCAGCCAGGAGGGATGGCTCACCTCTATAATCCCAGCACTCAGGAGGCTGAGGCAGGAGGATCACCACTGACTCAAGAACAGAACAGTGTGGTCTGTATAGTGAGCTTCAGGATAGTCTGGGGCTAGAGAATAAAACTGTCTCAAGAATACAAAACAAAACTAGCCTATGGATCTGAAGAGATGGCTCACAGTTAAGGGCATTTGCTGCTCTTGCAGGGGACTCAGATTTGGTTCACAGCATCCATACTTGGGGTGGCTCACAACCACATGTAACTCCAGCTCCAGGGGATCAGAGGACACCCGCACACACATGCACATACATGTAAATAAAAACAAATCTTTAAAATGGTAGCTTAATTTTTTTGAACAGGGTCTCACTATATAGCCCTGGATGGCCTGAAGCTCTCTGTGTAGACCAGGTTGGCCTTAAACTCACAGAGATCTGTCTGCCTCTGCCTCCTGGTGCTAGGATTAAAGGTGTGCACCACCACGCCTGGCTAACTTAATTTTAAAAGTTATAAAAACACTGTTGTAAATGCCCACTTTGCTGTAATATCAGCAATCAGAAAGCTGAGGTAGGAGGATTGTGAGTTCCAGGCCAACCTGGGCTACATAGCAAGATGCTGTCTCAAAGAAACAAAACAGAACTAGTAATAAAAACTTAATGTAGAAATCTTCAGAAATTGGGGAGAAAGGGACAAGTTAAATGACTCAGCAGGTAAAAAGGTGCTGTCATCAAACCTGATGAGTTGGACACTTGGATCCACATAGTAGGAGAGAATTGACTCCTACAAGTTGTCCTCTGCCCTCCACACAAGTGCCATGGCATGCATGTTGGTGTGTGTGTACATATACACAATAAAAATTAAAAATTTAAAAGAGCAAAATAAAAGGAAATTGGGGAGGAAGAAGCCAATTTTTTTTTCAGAGTCCAATGAGGCATTTTTTCATACATATGTTTTACATCGCTAGAAAAAGAATCCCAGAATTTCCCCTCCTGTGTGTTTTCATCTTGCTTCTTCATGGTCCATGATGCCAGCTGAGGTTGTCAGTGCAATGAAACCAAACTGACTGGGTGAGAGCAGATTATTCTGCCACTTTTCTAGGTCTTTGAGCTGCACATCAAATCTGGGGCTGATCACACCACACTTGTTTAACCTGCCCATGCGGTTCACAATTTTCCCAGCTCTGTGATCATCAATGATTTCAAATTCGCCAGTGTAACCATGCTTCATCATCACAGTCAGGGAGTGGATGAGGACTTTGGAGCACGGCCTGATGAGGACCTGGCCGTTGCCACTCTTCTCGGCACAGCTGGTGCACTTCAGAGCATTGGCCAGGACATTCATGCATACCACGATGGTGGCACAGAAGAAACGAAACCAATAATTAAAAACTTTTTTTGTCTTTTTTTGAGACAGGATCTCCCTATAGCCCCAGCTAACTTGAAACTCCCTAGATAGACCAGGCTGGTCTCAAACTCACAGAAATCTGCCTGCCTTAGCCTCCCAAGTGCTGGGATTAAAGGCTTACGCCACCACACCCAGCATTTTTTTTTTTTTTTTGAGATAGAGTCCCTTTAGTAGTCCAGCTGCTTTAAAATCAGAATCCGTCCTGTCTCAGCCTCCCAAACACTGGGATTAGAAGATTTTTCTTGTGTGCTTTGTGCCTCATTAATTTCCACAGAAACTGAAAGGTAGATTGTATTTTCTACATTTTTACAGACAAGGGAAGGCTGAGCCTCAGAGAGGTTAAGCGGTTTCTCAAGGTCACACAGCAGGGAAGCTGAGTCCCAGACTGCTGCTCTTCTCCTCCCTGTGTGTCTTAAAGGTCACATTCCAGGAGCGTCCACCTACCACCTTCTGGTACCCACAGTGCCAGCACCCAAGGTTCTCAGGCCCTGTGCCCAGAGCACAAGACCACAGGAACAGTGACCAGGACTTGAGCAGTATCTTCAGCTCCTAGCTCCATAAGAAACAGGCCTGGGAGGGGTAAAGCCTGGGAACCTACCCCAGAGGCAGTTTCCCCAGCTACTCCAAGTTTCCAGGTGCCCACATGTAGGCAGGTGGTGTCAGGGCTCCACAGCACACATCTGTGAGGTCAGGTCCAACAAGGACACAGCATTTGACTTTGGATGGACTTTAGAGGAAGGCTGGCCTGGAGAAAAGAAGCCTGCCCACTATTTCCAGACCCACATGGGAGGTGGTCCATCTCCATAGGGCTGGGACTGGCCTCTGACCATGTTCTCTCTCATAAAGCCAGATGGCTTCTTCTTTAGGCCCCAAGTCTACTTCTCTGTCCCTCCCAGTTCCTCTAAGCTCTGGGCCCACAGTCTTGACAATGTCTGTCCACCTGGGTAGTTTCTGAAGTGTCTCTACTCCTGTCTCTTCCTTTGAAAAGTGGATATAGTCCCCTACTCCTCCCCACAATGTTGCCACCGTGGGGGATAAACAGGAAGCACAGCATGAGCAACCAGCCCTCAGTCCTTGGCCTCCTGCCCTCACTGTCTAACCTGTCTGTTCTCCACAGGGAACTAGTGCCCAGAGTCCAGCCAGCTGGCCACCTGCCAAATGAGTGGTCCCTGTCAGTCCTCCCACCAGAGCCTAGTGCCAGTGGCCTACCAGCCCCGCCCAAGTCCTGTTTGTTCCCCTCCTCCATTAGGTCTTGTCCTTCCCCATGTCTCCTTCTCCTCTCTATGTGGAATACCCTCCTCATGTGGAGCCTCCCTATATACGGTTTTGTTCTGCCCTTGTGGGAGTTCCCCTCCTCCCCTGGCTTCCCCATAGCAGAGCTGCTGGCGACAATGTGATCAGGGATCCCTGGAAAGATGGAACACAGGCAGCAAAAGGGAGAAATCAAAGCGAGTCTCAGAAGTGCCAGGGACAAAGTATCTGGAGGCAGGACGCGCCCCATCACCTAGAACCACAGAATGAAGATGCAGAGCTCCTCCTAAGCAGTGCATGAGATCGCAAGGCGGCATTGAGCATTACACTAAGCCCAAGCCTGGTTAGGTGCAGGCCTGGGCCTTCTAGTATTTCAACCCCAGATGTGCCTCGGCGCTGCCACCTGCTGGCGATCTTCGGCCACTGCACCTGCCTGCAGGGAGTACTAGGAGGGGAGGTGGTGACACAACCCTCCCTCCCCCCCCTCCTTTTTTTTTTTTTTTTATTTTTTTTATTTGGTGTGCATGAGTGCTATGCCTGCATGTATGTAAGTACACTCGTGTCATGCAATGCCCACAGAGGCCAGAAGAGGGTGTCAGATCCCCTGGAATTGTTAGCTGCTATGTGGGTTCTGGGAACCAAACTCAGGTCCTCTGCAAGAGCAGCCAATACTCTTAACCACTGAGCCACCTCTCTCCAGCCCCAGCCTTCCTTTTTTATAGTGAGAAAATGGAAAGTTAAGGAGGGAAGTTCAATGAGAAACAGTTAGTAAAACAGCCTCAACCATCCCACAAATCAGTAAATTACAAACACGGTGGATAAACTAAGGTGACAACTACCTTTAGTGATCAATGTGAGTATCAAAATTATAGTGATAGGCTGGACATGGTGGTGCATGCCTGTAATCCCAGCACTCGGGAGGCAGAGGCAGGCGGATTTCTATTGAGTTTCAAGGCCAGCCTGGTCTATATAGCGTGTTCCAGGCCAGTTGGGGCTGCAGGGAGATCCTGTCTTAAAAAGATAAAAAAAAAAAAAAAAAAAAGCTGCATGTGGGGGCTAGACGAATGGCTCAGCAGTTGAGCCCTGGCTGTCCTTCCAGAGGACCTGGGTTCGGTTTCCAGCACTCATTCCAGGGGCTCTGACATTTTCTTCTGGGGTCCATTGGCCCTGCACATATATGGTGCACTCATACACATGCAGGAAAAACACTCATACACATAAAGTACAAATAAATAATTTAACCCTGTCTCAATGGAGGTGGACAGCATTCCTGAAGATGACACTCGAGGTTGTTCTTTGGCCTCTACATGCACACATACACAGGTGCAATGGCACACACACAAACATGCAATTACATATGCACACACCTTTAGTCCCAGCACTTGGGAGGCTGAGGCAGGCGGATCTGTGTGAGTTCGAGGCCAGCCTGGTCTACATAGTGAGTTCCAGGCCAGCTAGGGCTACAGGGAGACCCCGTCTCAAAAAGACCAAAAAATAAAAATAAAATTTAAATTCTAAAAAAAATAATAAAATAGGGGCTGTAGAGATGGCTCAGCAGTTAAGAGCACTGACTACTCTTGCAGACCCAGATTTGATTCCCAGCACCCACATAGTGGCTATCTGAAGCCCTCTTCTGACCTCTGCGGCATTGCAGGACACGGGTGCACTCACATACATGCAGGCAATACACTCATACACATAAAATAAAAATAAAATGGTATGTCTGATGGCACTATAAGATTGAAATACATTAAAACATCAACAATGGCTACAAAAACAGTATAGCAAAGGGATGATTGTCTAAGTCTTTAGGTCTAGCCTAGCATCCTGGTACATGCCTGTAATCCCAGCTATCCAGGAGGCAAGAGGACTTAAGTCTGGGGCTGGCCTGGGCAACACCATCACAAAACAGTATGCTTTAGGTCCATATATAATGATACCTTTGAAAATATAATCTATCACTAAAGCAACATTAACTCCATCAGGCTATTAATGATAACTTGGTTGTTTGGGTGCTGTTTAAACAGCTGGCATTGGGGCAGCTTGCATATGTAAAATGCATAATACTGGTTTTCATTTGCAAAATTCATTTAACACTTAGTTCAGGTACCTAGAGATGATTTAAAATATCCTATGAATTTTTTTATTATTGTTTTTAGTTTATTTTATGTGTAAGTGTCATGCAATGCCTGCAGAGGTCAGAAGAATGTGTCAGATTCCCTGGAACTGGAGTTATGAACTGTTGTCAGTTGCCACGTCGAACCAGGGTCCTGTGCAAGAGCAATCAGTGCTCTTAACCGCTAAGCCATCTTGCCAGCTCCATATGAAATTTTTAAAATTGTGCTTTTTAGTAAGTTTACAAAACAGTAAATTTCCTTATGAATTTATCAGGCATCCTTAGTTTTGGTTAACCCTTTTCTCCACCCCTTTTGTGTATTGTGTAACTGGTAAATGTGTGTGGTATGTGCACACAAGTGAGTGCAAGTGTACACACTTGTGCAGCATGTGGAAGTTTGAGGATGATGTTCAATAAGGGCTGAAGAAACGCTCAGTGGTTAGGAGCACTGGCTGCTCTTGCAAAGGTGGGAGGGTGGATTTGGTTTCTAAAACCCACATGGAGGCTCAACTGTCTGTAACTTCAATTCCAGGGGATTTAACTCCTTCTTCTAGCCTCCACAGGCACTACATTCATGTGGTGCACTTACATACATGCACACAAAGCACTCATACACATAAAAATACAAATAATTGTTTTAAAGTTCTCGTGTTATAGTAGGAAACAAAAGGCTGTATCGATACCTGATGAAGCGTCTTCAGATCATACACTTTCTTCAGCATTTCCACACTCTTTTTTTTGTCTTTTTGAGACAGGGCCTCCCTGTAGCTGTAGCTGGCCTGGAACTCACTATGTTGGCCTCGAACTCACAGAGATCCACCTGCCTCTGCTTCCTGAGTGCTGGTACTAAAGGCGTGCACCACCATGCCCAGCTTTAGAATTTCCACATATTCCTATTTTGTTTTCAAGAATGGATTTTTACTTGACTTATTAATAGATTCTAAAGAAGTGCTAACAATCCAGACGGAGGGACTGGAGAGAAGGCTCAGCTCTTGTACTGTTCTTGTAGAGTTGTTTCCAGCATCCATGTTGATGGCTCCCAGACATCTGTCAAAGTCCAACTTCAGGAGGATCTAACACCTCTGACTGCCAGTGGTACCACATACATGTGCACATACTCACACACACAATTAAATATAATAAAAAATCTTTAAAAATTCCAGATGGTGGGGCTGGAGTGATGGCTTAGCAGTTAAGAGCACTGGCTGCTCTTGCAAAGGACCTGTGTTTGGGTCCCAGCACCCACTTGGCAGCTAACAACTGTAGATAACTCCAGTTCCAGGGGATCTGATGCCCTCTTCTGACCTCTGCAGGCATTGAATGATACTAGTCTACTTACATACATGTGCGCAACACACACACACACACACACACACACACACACATAAAAAAAATTACAGGGGCTAGAGGGATGGCTCAGTAGTTAAGAGCACTGGCTGCTCTTGCAGAAGACCCAGGTTTGAATCCCAGCACCCACATGACTCCATAACTCCAGTTCCAGGGGATCCGCTGCCCTCTTCTGTCCTCCATGGGCACTGCATGACATGGGTGCACTTACATACATACAGGC